GAGAGAGAGAGAGAGAGAGAGAGAGAGAGGAGAGAGAGAGAGGGGGGGGGGGAGAATTGGCGCTTGAAGTTCGAGGGTTGAAATAATAGTGGTGTTTTATTCAGCAGCACACCTCCTCGCCAACACCAGTCAGCGCACTTGCCGTCGATCGTCCGTCACAGAGTTCTCGCGGCACGAGTCAGCGGCAGCGCAAGTACAAATGCAATCGAATAAATTTTACGTAACGACATCCACGGGGCGATTTCGCACGGGCGGACGGATGGACGAAAGGGTGACCCGTCCCACCCCAGCAAACTTTGACTCCTCGTCGGGAGGTTTAATCTCCCTCGTTATTTACATAACGGATGATACGGATGTTCGGAAAATGCGAGAGATATGTTTAAAAGAGCATAGAGGAATGCGATCGCGTCTCTATCTTTTGGAAACAAATGGGATCTCCCTGCCCGTCGACGATTTTTTTCAGCACCGTCGTCGAGCGCCTTCCGCGAGGCGATCACCACCGTCACACTCGGTTGCGTCAGCGACCTCGTTACGAATGCACGCGGAATGTAACGGACTCTTCTCGCGGACTCTTAACTCGCTGCTCCTTTTGGATGCGAAGGACGCAAGGAACATCACCACGTCCGGAGCTCGCCTCGTCCTGCCACGTTTCGCTGCGTCGCGTTCTCTCGTCGGGGATCGATTCTCGGCGGAGCGGGAGGCGGTGCCGCGCGGAAGAACGCGGTGAGATCGCTCGCGACGCGCCTTTCCGAATGGGAGAGGAATCGCGGGACTTCGACGTCGGAAACGATCGGAAGCGCGCGAGCTTATCTCGCGCGATCTCTATATCGCGACAGCACGCCACGGGCATGGCGGGCGTACCGATCGCTCCCGGCGGCAGCCCGTGAAAAACACACGGCCCGGTGACATTTTCGTGATGACGAGGCAAACACACTGCCGCCGCAAAGACCGCCGTCGACACGCCGCCTGCGCCGCGTATCGATTTGCGTCGCGACGCCCGACGCGAGTCGTCGGTAGCGCCTTCGCCCCGCGCGCGCCACCGTTTCCCCCTGCGAATCACTAGCCTGATAATTATTAACGAGATGATTCCTAAACTCTCGAAGAGGCTTCACAAATGATAGAGTATTTTGTAGAGTTGTATAATATTTCTAACTACCGTTGAAAAAAGATAAGCAATATACTCCTGAAAATTGTGTATTTAATAAGAAAGGCAGTTTCATATATTTGTGGAAAAAATGATTATTTGAATCATATATACTTGTATCAAGCTTTGCTTATTTCATACAAATAGGTAGAATTATCATGGAGGAAGAGGGGGGAGAGAAGTATATGCTATTATAAAAATATACATATGTACACGTATATGTGTTTATACACATATCTTTATTGACTTGTAGTATTCATACAAATCTGCATTTTAGTAGATATCTTTTGCTATTCAATAAAGGCCCGGAAAAAGAACAATTTGGGATATTACAGATCGATTATTTACCAATTGTTTCAAGTGCTCAACATTTACAGATTAAAATCACTCACTTAGAGTATTATTTGTTACAAAATTTTGAGATTACAAAAAAATTTGTATTAATCTTCATCGGAGTCCTCACTTGCCACGGTTGTCTTCTCCTTATCTTCCAATTTAGTTCGTGCAATAAGTTCTTTTGCAGGATTAAAAGTACCGTTGGTCTGGGCATTGCAGATATAACATCGAGTACTTTTCCTATACTGTTCCAAAGCACATTTTTCACAAAAATAATGCTTGCATCTAAAAAACAAAGAAAATAATGGCTCAATCATCAAGAACATTTTAAAAGCATTGAACAAATTAGTAAGGATATAATTTAGTCTCGTACTTAGTAATGACTGGATCTGTGAAACTGTTTCTACAAATGAAACATTTAAACGGTAGATTTTCCTCATCACTGTCAATCTCATATTTCTTATCGTCTTCATCTCCGCTATTGTTATATTCGCCTGTGGCAGCTTCTCTTTCCAATTGCCATCCCAATTTATAATCCGACCTGTCGTGCAGGAATTTACAGCTGTCTATACAGAAAATGAACAATTTATATTAATATCAATTCAAAATTATACGATTATTCAGAGAAACTAATTATATAAAAATGTCACATGCCTCCAAAACCACAGAAACCGGTTTCCTTGTAATCCTTGCATATATCGGGTTGATAATCCCATCTCACTGTCGCTCTAAGATTGGATGGTGCTCGAATTGGTCCTTTCCGTACCATTCCGCTAGATGCATTTCCAGCAGCAGTATCCTTCTTCTTATAATATTGCGCATAATTATTTAATCCCCTATAAATCTTATCATCCTCTTTTCCTTCTAACGACTGAGAGTCGACATAGATACATATATAATTAATTTTTTTCTTTCCAGATAAGTTAATTGTAAACTTCAATATGATAAACCAAACTATACCTCGTTTATTTTTTGTAGCCCTTTCAAATAGTGCTTGGGCATCTCTATCTTTTTCTGTTTCTGTTTGAAGAATAGCTGTTGCTCCTTGATCACTTGGGCCAGCTGGTAAAGCCGTTCTGCTACTTTTATATGATACAGTCACACTGTCATCCTCACTACTGTCGTCGACATTATAACTGGTCTTTTCCTGATGCCTTTTCACATTTGTCTATAGAAATGAAGTTCAAGCTACATTTTATAACATAACAATTTATTTGGAATTTAATTTCAGCAATGAAGTGCAATCATAAATTTAAATGCTTCGGTGCCAATTTTCTGGAACTTTTAATTAAAAAGAATATAACATGAAGAAAGTTCAGAAAAAGATACAGAAAAGCAAAAAATCTTGAATAAGCAAAAAATCTTGAATAAATATAATATATTGTAGAAAAGTTGCACAATAACGACACTGATTGTTAGTTATTGTCCAGTTATTGTCAGTATTAAAATATAATATGTATAATAATATATATTATATATAAATTATATATCTTTGATGACTGAATTTTTGAACATAATCATTGTTATTAATATTCATTTTTACAAATATCTATTAATTTTGATTTCGATTTATCCTTTATCTTTTTCTCTAATTCTTAGCAATAAAAGAAAAATAGAAAAATATATCAAAGATAATATATTACAATAGACTGAAAATATGTTTAAATGAATAGTAATGATGAGCAATTTCAACAGATACCTAAAAGTTTCTTATTTTTTGAATATATATATATATATGGGTGCGTGTATATAAATAAATTCAAGAGATGCTTATGTCGCTAATCATGTGATTATTTTTAATATACTTGCAATATAGCTAGCAATATAATTCAAAGAGCTAAATTTTATTCTTTAATAAATCAGCAATCAAATATGATAGTAATTATTTCTCTTCCTGTTGGAAAAAATTCTTATTGTGGAAAATATCAATCAGTCAATACAAGAGGCTTATTTTTTTAACTGAATTTTTTCTATCATTCATCTTTTTTTTTCTCCAACATGGAAAGTTAAAGAAAAAAAATATGAATTGTGAAGATTCAGCTAAAAAGAATAGGTCTATTAATAGAAATTGATATAAGAATTACAGAATACAGAATATTGGCTCATATTAATGAGATCACGTATTTCCATTCGCGATGTGGAATACTCACACTTTGTATCATAGGATTGTGTTCATTCTGCTTTTTTTCCTTCTTGACTATCGTGGTCTCATCCTCGCTGCTATCTACATGATAATACAAATGTTTATCCACACATCTCTTTAGACATAACCTAAAATTTTTTATTCGGCTAGATTCATCTGACAGATAGGATAGAATTTAAATCAACTTTTTTATTATCGAGGACTTACTATCGCTACTATCTGCTTCTTTCCGTTTTCTCGTAGCATTATTACGAATCTTGCGTTTCTTAAATAAAAAGGTGCAGTTTTTCTTCTCTGTCCCCTGCACTGCGTCATCCATGTTTGTTTCGTAAACACTGGACAATTTACCAGCAGTGGTAAACGTATGTATATACATACATAAACACCGTTCCTCTGTAACATTCACCGTAGCCGGATTGTTTTCTTTCCATTGTTCTCTCAGTGTTACTTCTTGCGTCAAAATAAGTGACCGAAATTTTTCGACTTAACAATTCGCGTAAGTTCATACAAAAAAATGCATCTTGTTGTCTCGTCTCCGCTCGTAACGAAACAGATGGTTATGTTCTCCGGACTCTGGACGCACCGATTACGCTATATTTATAAATGTTTGCGCCTTAAATTCAAATAAAATAAAAATAAAGGTTTTTAATTATTAGGTTTACGATGTGTAAAGTGATTATGATAAAGTATGTGATATTTAATTATTGATTATTGTGAAAAATTATGGGAAATTTATTATAGTAGATTATATATTAGTCTTTGTATATACACATATAGATGTGATAAGTATTAAATATTAATATATTTTCATATATATATTATATATTTTCATATATATTTTACTTACCATTTTATCTATGATATTACATCGCAAAGCATTGTAACAGTGTTTTTACTCCCGACTGCCAACCGAAGGTTGGCAAAAAGCAGGGAGTATGCATTTCACCGAGTTAATCGGTTATTATCAAAGATCTCAGTAATTACAATATATTTGTTTATCAACTTTTATTGAGTTTTGATCACTACAGGAGTTTTGATCACTACAGGAATAAATAATGATGTCATGATCTGTTTTGGATTACTAAAATTATTATCAAACTAATTATAATCATATTTAAATGATTAGATATTTAACTTCAAAAGTATATAACTTCAAAAATAATTATATAAATTATATATTTTAATCAAACTTGAGTTTATGATATATATCTTCAATTACATTCAAAAATGTTATAAGAATGTTGTATATATTATTAACTACTGTATTATTATTGAATGCTGTATTATTATTAAACATTTTTTTGGATAATCATTTCATTATTTACAGGTCTTCCAATTTCCTCAAGTTGTTCAAAGTTAAGAGGAACAATGAGTAAGAAGAAAAATATGGCAATTGATTTCCAAGATAATATGATATTGCTCACCCGAAAGTATTTGAAGCGTAAAATAATGTGTCCTGAAACTAAATTTAGACATCATGTTAATGAACGATCACATATTTTGGATTTAGTAAAACGTACTGTTGAAATAGGTGAAAGCAATTCTGCTTTATTAGTTGGACCTAGAAGCAGTGGAAAAACGACGGTATATAATCTTTGAAAATATTAATATACTTATTGAAATTGATGATAACTTCCTTGTACAATTTCAGCTTATTAACAGTGTCTTGAAAGAATTATCAGCTTTAAAAAGTTTTAAGGATAATGCATTAATAGTGAATCTTCATGGATTAGTACACACTGACGATCGTTTAGCGTTAAAAGATCTGACTCGTCAAATGCAATTAGAAAATGCAGTTGGTGATAAGGTTTTCGGGACATTTGCGGAAAATCTAAGTTTTCTTTTAGATTGTCTGAAATCTGGTGATAAAAAACATTCCAAACCAGTCATCTTTGTACTTGATGAATTTGATCTGTTTTGTGAACATCACAATCAGACGTTACTGTATAATTTATTCGATGTTGCTCAATCTGCACAGGTAAATATTTTTGTATTAAAATGAAAAATATGTCTGTGCATTATTCTCATATGTACACCACAGACATATGAGAATGAGGTAGAATAGGCCCTAAAAATCTACGAAAGTAAAAGAAGAAGAAAAAGAAAAATATTATGGAAGATTACATAAATTTTAATGCTAATGGGTATTTTTAGGTGCCGATATGCGTATTAGGTATAAGTTGTAGATTAGATGTTGTGGAATTATTAGAGAAGAGGGTTAAGTCGAGATTTTCGCATAGACAAATATTTCTATTTCCTGGCGATACATCATCTTCGGAACAGCCTATATCTGCGTTTGATGATCGCTTGGAACTTTTTCGGGATCTTCTTAGTTTACCTGATGACGAGAATGTAAATAAAATAGAACAACAGTATGATGACTGTATGATAGATCCGCAATTTGGCTCTATATGGAATAATTATATTAAGAGTTTAACTACTAACGTTACACTTGTGAACTTACTTAAGAGAATGTATCATATCGACGTGAGTGAGAGGAGCTTTAGAAATTTTCTCGCGGTAGCCGTCTCGACATTATCGGAAAAGCATCAAAAATTGGAAGTAAACGATTTTGTGGAAGCGAGTAAAATCTTTTCGGAGGATGATAAATTATTGATACTCGAAGGACTATCCATTTTAGAAATGTGTTTGGTATGTTTTTTTATGATTATCTCCTGAAATTATCTTTAGTAATAAAAAAGAAATACTTAAATTTCATTTATATAAAATAATTGTCGCAGATAATAGCAATGAAACATGAGACGGAGATTTATGACGGCGAACCATTGAATTTCGAGGCAGTATACAATCGTTATATCAAGTTTACGAATCAGAATTCCTCTATACAATCTGTGCAGAAACCAGTCATCATGAAAGCTTTTGAACATATTAAGGTAAGAGATGTTTCATTATTGAAATTATTTTTCTTAAACTCTTGAAAAGGAGAGATGGATAAACACATATATGTTCTGTAGAATTTGGAGATCTTGCTACCAGTTGGAAATACAAACACGAAGTTTGAAAAGGAACATCAATATTACAAATTCACACTAACATCGCAGCAAGTTATTGAAGCTGTAAAAAATTATCCAAGTCTTCCTACAGAAGTTTCCCAGTGGGCATTGAGCAGTATATAATGATGATACAGTTTTATGCTCAATCTATTATGTTCTAAAAAAATTACACATTACGCGTAATTAATAAGTTTCTGTTCACAAGCGATGTGCTTGTAGATTAAATTTAGGCATTGCGAGACTTTACATCGTATTAGTAGAAGGAATACACTTGTGAAGTAGCATAGAAATTAATAATGTGTTAATCTTTTAGATACATTTTTATATGTTGAACATAATCATCTCCATATCCTTAATTAATGATTATCACAAAAAACAAAATATTACACGAGAAAAAAACTATAAAGATATACGAATGTCATCTACATATTATGCCCTCCAAAAAATGTGATAGTCTAGTCGTGTGTACCCCACACACACACACACACACACACACACATCAATTTAAATTTTTTAAAGTAAATTTTTTTCAAATGTCAATCACTTAGAATAGAAAATCGAAAGAAATATCAGGAAAACGCAACGAAATTGTGAATATATAATATATATCCTCAGTATGTAGTAATATAAATATATGAAACAGGTTGGAGAATAATATTTTGTGAATATATATTAAATATGGATTTCAGAAATAATTCCTGCCAATATATAAACAGAGAATTGATATGTTCATTTTCATATGAAATTAACAAGGAAGATACATAAATATTTATCGAAATATTTTATTTTATACAGTAAGCATTAATGTAGATATCATTATATATATCGAGTGTCGTGGACAGTTAATTAAATACAGTTAATTAAATTTGACTGAAATCATATTTGTGCCATTATCTAAGCATCGTGTTTAAAATTCAGTTTTTCTGTGATCCTTCCATGATCATGTCCATATTTATCTTTATATGTGTGCGCGCATACATGCCCGCGATCAATATTTATATGCGTGAATGTGTAAAAATTTAAGTATTTATTAAGAAACTATCTTTCTCTTTTGCACATTCAGACACATATTGCGCGGACGCATTGAAATGCGACAAAATTAGAATGTGCACATGTCTACGTTTATACATTTGTAATAAATTTACGTCTCTGACGAAGTATCGATATTTCATTGTGGATGTTTTTTAATTTAATCCACCCAAGCAAATTGCGGTTTTGCTTCTGCGGTCATCGCAACGTCTGCGATTGTTCTGATCTGGGAATTTCTCATCACTAACTTTTTTGACAATTGACGTTTCTCAAATTTCGCCAACTTTTCCAATTTCTTCTTTTTATGTTGCGCGATATATAAATCGTGACCTATGTACAAAAAATGCATGTTTATTACGTATTTCAACACAAGTTTTACATTATTTTGTCTTACCAGGATTCATGCCTACAGGAGGTACGTTTCTCAATTCTTTTTCCATACTAAATGGCCGAAGCGCTGACATGGCACGACTCACCCCTATCTACAAATAAAACGCAAGTCAAACGCGAACAGGCCACGAAAAATCCAAATTGCTCGAGAAATTAAGTTATTAAAAAAATTCGCACCTTTGAATGACGTATTCTGTGCTCTACAAGATCTGCTCCGAGTACTTCTTCATAAACTGACATTCTAATTGGTATTATTTTATTTATGATCTACAAAAGGGATAGTTGTTACTTATATCTTGTATTTCTTTGAAAAAATATAGTCAGACAATACCCAGAGCAATACGATTGAGATGCTAAAACTCCAAACACTTAAACAAAGCGCAGATAAACTTTGTACTCCCAACAGGTACCAGCCACCTCCTATAAAAATTCATGCAGACTGCACAGACTGTATGATTTAAAACAAAAAAGATATATGCGAGAAGATATGCGCGAAATGGTCATAAAATACGTACCTTTAAATAAGCCTTTCCTTCCATTTGTAGTATCAAGAGGATATGGATCATCGGCAAATAAGCCGATGGCGACAACTCCCCAGATACCGCTTGCGCCTGTACTTGAAACGAATGCAAATATTTGTTGAAAAAAAATTTAAATAAGTTTGTTAATGGAATTACATTAGACGCACCGTGAGTGGCGACAGCTCCAACGGGATCATCTATGTGAATTTTATCCAACGCTGGCATTGCGACACACGTGATAAAACCACCTATCATCCCGACTATCATCGCTTCCCAGCCTTTGTAAAGAAAACACCCACCTAACGCAAGATTCAATATAAAAAAACATTTGAAAAAAATCTGCTCCAGTCCTCCCGACGATTTCTATATTAATCAAGCATATACCGGTAACTGCTACTAATGCACCAAGAACACCATTTATCTGGCTAAGGATATCAATTCCATTAGGATTAGTCAAGCTGAAGCTCAAACCGACCAGACCACCTCCCATACTGGCTATCATCGTGGAGACGGCCGCTCGAGCGGCGAACTGCCACCGATCACCGGTTACCCCGTAAGTACTACCGCTGTTGAACGCTAACCAGCCCCACCTACATGGTTCACGATATATATGGTTCACTTTTTATATTCGATTTACTATTCATTACGTTATTTATTCGTCGTAGTAATCTACGATTGTCTTACCATAGCACGAACAGTCCCATAATCGCATTCACTGGGCATCCGAGTGGTAAAGGATCGATGCCATTGTCGTATCTACCTATCCTGGGGCCGAGCATGATAGCGCAAGCGAGCGCTATATAGCGAACAGGCAAATTAACGTATGAATTTTATCGTCTATCACTCGATCGAGAGTACACACTTGCATGTTTTTGATTACCCGAAATACCGCCGACAAGATGCACCGGGCCCGAGCCAGCGATATCAACGACTCCCATGCGATTCAGAAACCATGATCGCCCCATACCCAGCCGGCCGGTAGGCAATATACAATAGTGTTCAAAAACGAGAAGAGGCAGTACGCCTTAAAGTTACATCTAGAAATGGAAAATGTGCAATCGACTACGCTCGTTACAGTATCGCATTTACAGAGATAAATACCGTTCCGCCATAGCACCGCTAACAATAGTCGTAGAGGTAGTGGCGAAGCTCAATTGAAATAAAAATGCAGCGCAGATGGAACCCATATATTCGTCATCGACAGGGGGATCTACGAATATACCTCCTATGCCGATGAAAGGATTGTTGGGTTTGTTTAAGCCAAAGCTAAATCCGAATCCAAACATCCAATAAGTCAAACCACCGAGAACTATATCAACTACATTTTTCATCATAATGTTGACCTCATTTTTCACGGATACACAACCGGATTCTAACATTCCGAAGCCTATTGCAAAGTACGAAAAATTAATATAGAAGTTAGTACAACGAAAATAGTGCTAGTGATAAATAAATAATTTTATATCTTGATCGGTGTAAGAAAGGACAATTTAAATGTTTGGAAAAGTGTTTCTTCGTATTACCGGTTTGCATTGTAAAAATCATAAAGGAACTTGTGACAATCCAGTTACTATCTTCTTGCGTAAGATTATACAATGCACTAACATATCTGTCAACAGTAACGTTTGTATTGTTTCTTTCATCACTCGATAGTTCCATGATGTTCAAATCGTTACTTCATTGCTGGAAGAAGACTGGCTACTGATGTTTTCATTCGCATATATGGAAATAGACGGAAGAAGACGGGACAAACAAATTAAAAATTGAAGCTGTACGGGCAAAACAAGTCTGATATTGGTATTGGTATTGAAAATAACGTCACGACTTCTGTCAGCAACCCGCATCTAGCGCATCTATTAAAAGGAGTGGATTGGTAGAATTAAACCAAAAAGAAATATCTAAGAATCCCATAAAATTTTAACTTTTTTTATTGGCCTTACATCTTTTCGTGATGTTACAGAAAATTTTTTTCTTCGCTCGTATATCCAACAATTTCTCTTCGTTCGTTCAATGATTAAATAACGTCAAAATCATGTATAATACAATAATACTAATCTAAATTGTTGAATATATCACGTATAGAATTCTGTTATCTATACCATACTTCGAATTTATAATGGTACGATAATTACTATTCTTGGAAAATATATTATGAATGTAATGTGCAGTGAAACATAATATGCGACAGCAAGTTAGCGATATTTGGCAATACAAAGATTTTTTTTGGTTTTTTTTTCATCTCTTTTGTTCTTTTTTTTTAATGGCCAGGCTAAACATTACATCACATAATTTTGCATAGATAGCTGTTTTTCACATTGTACGATGGAGCCAGTGGTAAAGAAAGAATGAAATCAATAAAAAGCGTTTTTTTATCATCCGAGGATATAGTCGTGTAGTTTTTCGGGAGAAGCAAATGTGCAGCATCAAGATGTAAAATTTCACAAAGTGTCGATATATGTAATTTTGTATGCACGGTTTTCGAAAGCGGCTATGAAGACTACGTTGGGAGATGGTAAATTTTTGTCGCTGAATCCTTTTGTTGTTTTGGCAATTTGCTTGTTCCATGGGGCTTAGTGACCATACACATTCTCATCACTGTATGCTATATATAGGAAGAAATCTTCTTCATGATGTTCCTGATTGAAATTAACAGGAAAGAACACGTATATTAAAAAACTTAAAATATCTCTTTCGACATATTGCATTATTTGTTATAATATTCATATTAATTACCGCATAAAGAGAGCCCATTGTAGCGCTTGTCGGAGGAATGATGTTGTTGACGAAGAAGAATAAAGCATCTTCGGGACGTAAATGAATTCTCTTACGAATTAAAAAGTAAAATTGGCCGACAGTCAAGTCAGAAGGTACCAAATACTTTTGCTTGTCCAAATCACTGATTTTTGCTTTAGGCGCCTTCTCAACTATCACCTATAACAACATTTATTATATCTCCCTCAAATATGTTTTTCAAATACATAAAAACGTAATAACGATTAACAACAATTACGAAAGTTTAAAATATTAATTAGTCATTGCAAATAAAAGTCAACTTCTATCTCCACTAGAACTAGGATTGCCATATTAAAATTTTCAAAACTAGGACTTCACAAAACCTCCGCCAAAAATCCCGAATATTTCGGTTGCAATCGCGGACGCATACAAAAATGCGCTTAAATTAATAAAATTGATTGAGAACAGTAAATGAATCATTATTTCATATCTAATTGTTCGTTAACGTTCAGAGCAAAGAGAAATTTGAATTGGAAAATACTATTTTGATTAAAAATATGTTTTATTATAGATTTAGTTTAAGTTTTATTTGGTATTAAAATTAAAAATTTTAATTTTTTTATGCGATATCTGTGCTATTTGGTAATGCAGAGTAATGCGAGAGAAATCAAAACAAAACATTTAAAAGCTTTCCTGAAACCCCGGACGCTTATAATTATCCCGGACGCTTTCAAAAAATTCTCCCGGACGTGCCCTAAAAAAGAGGATAGTGTTCCGGGGAAAAGAGAACGGATGGTAACCCTAACTAGAACCCACATTTACTTGATAAATTAGACAAATTTTAATCTTGTTGATGAAATTTTCTAATTTTTAGTTCACTCGTTTTTTTTATAGATTTAAAAAAAAACAAATTTCAAATATGCACATAACGCAACGTGAGTTTGAAACATGTCAAAATGTTGAGTAACAGGATTCGGATTCGAGTCCTCTCATTGGTCCCGGTGAATACACGCATATTGCAGCATAAGGGATAAGTTTCGCGTGAAACTCCGATCATGTGATCGCTGATTCATACACATAACAATGATAAACGCAATTATTCTTTCTTCTTAACGATCACGATTACATCCATGGCGCGAAATTCGTAACAAATTAAGGAGACACAGAGGTAAATTCTAACAGTTGGATTTTTAATGCCTCTTGAAAAGTAATTAATCCGTTAGATGTTAATTAATACACGAAAGCAAAATAATTATCAACATTATTCTGTCAATTTTGATAATTATTTACTAATCAATACTTTTGCGAAAATGAAATGCTTTATAACGTGTTTTTTCCATGATTAGGATATAAAATTAAACGAACAGCAAACCTATTAGAGAACAATTTCAATTATTGGGAAGATCGTTGTAAGATCTGATTCAAAATATATATCGAAGGATAAAAATATATTCAAAAATATATAATGTAATCAAAATAAAATTCATTAGGGCCTGCGCAATATTAAATTTAGGAAATAAAAAATTCGGAATAAAAATTAAAATGTAATGCACAATAAATATAAATAAGCATATAATCATATTTTATACTTACTTATGTTCATTGTGCGTTACGTTTAATTTTTATTTTAAACTTTTATTTCTAAAATTTAATACCTAAATTTAAAAAATTTAATTTATTTCTAACATCTTCTCCATTGTGCAGAGCCTTAGTGATCTATTGTGAATTCAGTTATTTATTAAAAAAGAAAGATTAGATAAAATTAATTAACTATGAATTTGTAATATGTTCAAAATATCATTACGTATGAAATTATTACATGATCTTCCCAAGTTTGAAAACGGGAATAAAAATAACAACAGGATACTTGCACAGGCGATCTGTAACTTCAAATGTAAATCTAAGAGGATCTTTGGTTCGACGCGTAATAACAAGATATTGACAATCATCGTTTGTCAATGGGACAAAAAGTTTCAAGAATGCGACACTTTGTGTCTCAAGTCTGTCACAAAAGGTGGTGCCGAGGGAATCTAAACCGAGCGAGTCATCTCGAATGCCATGTCGAATACAAGATTGATAAGTCCAAAGGTAATTTACGCTTTCCGAGCGTAAATTTCGGGATTCGTTCGGAAACTCGGTCGATTGCGCGTCGTGAAGCAGATCAATACGCGCGCGGGGGGAGGACGTAGGCGAGGAGCAGCCGGATTACACCGCGTAATAAGCGCGCAAAAAGAGGGCTCGTCTCGGGGGAAAAAAAAAAAATTGAGGACCGAATGCGACGCAAAATACGAGGACGACCTTGAGCTCGTCCGGGGGACCCGGATCGAGATACGATCGAACGTGTTGCGAAAGCGCCTCGTTCTCGTTCGCGGGTATCCCTCTTTCCGGAATATTCGAGGAGGCGGAAGGATAATTCGAGACATCCTGTCAAAACGCGAGAAAGGATTCGATACTTACGGGCACCCGATCGGGATATTTCCGTCGGATTTCTCGCCCTCGGCCTTCCTCTTCTCAACGGATGCTCCTCCTTGTACTGGAACTTCATCGTCCCCGTCGACAGGGGAGGACTGCGTGACACAACGACAACAATGACAATCGCAATGCTCTTCGTCAATCTCACTCACGTCACCAATTCGCCCTTTCGTTTACGCACTCTCCCTCTCGCTGTCTGTTTCTGTCCGTCGAATTGACACGACGGAGATCCCTCGGCGACACTCGCGAAACAACAATCGCCGTGCGTCACTGCGTTTGTGCGCCTGCGCTATGCGATCGCCTTCGCGGCAAGAAAGTAGTCCCGCTCGTTCGATAAAACTCTTGTCGATAAAACAACGTCAGGAAGATCGCCAATCGTTCACGTGAAATTGCTCGAAAAAATTGTCGCATATTTTTTAAAACAGGATTAATATGAAGACAATCAGTAAGAATAATTCGGTATACGTCAAATGTGTATGCATGACGAACAAGTATACGATCGCGTATGAGATTTGCACTTCGCGATTGCACCTTCCACACCTTTTCTTTTCGACAATGTATAATATACAGTATACATACAGTGTATAGTATCATACAATACAATCGTATACAGACTGGATTCCATAAAGCGCTCTTTTTACAATATATATATATATGACATGAATTATTAATAATATGTGCAATGCACTTTCCCGGAAGCACTTGACGAAAATTTTATTATGAAATGTATAATTTTTAAAAAATTTTTCAGAATATTTTTCAACTTTGTCATAGAGATAAACGAAATTTTTCTGAAATAATAAAATTTTTTTCATTTGTAGCGAAATTCTGAAAATAAATTCTATTTGAATATAAGAGACTTTTTTGTATTTATTTCTATACAATTAGAAAATTTCGTAAGTTTTAATCGTTTTTTTCCGAAATAATATAAAATAGAATGCCTTTTAGAATAAAATTATCATTTTTCTGTTAATATTACATGTCTTTTTTAATCTTAAATTTTTAATACAATAATGTGAGTATCTTATATTAAAATTATATTTTTAATATTTTTTCAAGAATTTATTGAATAATGCATACTTTTTTGAAATGATTATTTCTTCTGCAAAATATGATTTTCTTTGAAATTTTTAAAAGTATTTTACATAATTTTGCAAAAATCATTAAAGAAAGTATGCTCAATGTTATTAAAAGTCAGAGAAATTTATATCTATTGAATAGCAATTCTGAGAAAAAAGATAATATAATTAAAAATAATATTTGAATTTATCTATATTTGTCTTAATAAGTTCTATTCTAAATAGATGTTTCTCAGATATTTTTATAGAAAGTAGAGAGATATTTTTATACAGAGTATTTTCTAGAAAAAACATCCCTTACAGAAATTTATTATTATTATAAATTACTAAGAAATTTGCAGTAATTAAGTACTACTATATAATATTTCAGTAATTTTTTGGCCAGTATTAAACTATTGGTAACTAATACAAAAATTTATTACTGTGAAATTTATTACTAAGAAATTTGTAGTAATTAAATATTGCAGTATTTCAATAATTTTTTAACCAGTATTAAATTATTGATAATTACTATAATAGAAATAAAATACTGAATACGTTATTATTATTGGTTGCATTTATTGCACAAAAACAGAGAGAAGATTTACATTATTTTTATAATCTTAATAATAATTTTATACTCAGTTTCAAATAAAAAAGGAACAATAAAACAATATTGCACACACAAAAGGAAAAAAATATAATTTCCGTTATTATTTTAATATCTGTTTTTTTTTAGTCTTAGTTATTTATATAATAAAAGTTAACATAATAATATAGTAAAGTTAATGTAAAATAATATAATATAGTAAATGTTAATATAAAATAATGTAAAAAATGTTATAATAAAAGTTAATGTAAAAGTTGATTTAATAATATAAAATTTATGCAAGAAAATAAATATTTTTTAACAAGTACCTAATATCAGATATAAATTTGAAAATGACTTAGGCCATCAAAATTACCATTTAGACCGATTAGATATACAATAATAAAGATAATAAATTACGAAAATTTTTAATATTTTAAAGATTAATTTGAATTTGTCTTATGTAAATATTT